GTACTTTCTAATTTAAAAAAAAAAAAAAAACAGACTGATCTAAAGAACGGGTATAAGTACGATCACACAAGTGTACCCCCTGGGTAAGGAGTCTGTCCAGCGTGGTTTCTGTCATGCAAGGGGGCAGGACCAGCATGCATGCACACCAGAAAGAGTTGTTAAACCTGATTTAAACTGTGCTAAGACAACTCCGCGAGAGTCCGGGAGGCAGGGCGATGAATTGCTGACTTGGCACCCTACCAGAGTCAGGATTGGGTCAGAGATTGAGGAACGGAGCAGCCCCTGGGAAACCAAGTCCAAGAGAGCTGGGAGTGCTCTCCCGCAGTTTTCAGGATAGGCTTCTAAACACCAGCCCTTGAACTCAAAGCTTGAGTGGCACGTGGGTTTACACTCATGTTAATACACACTGTTAGTGTTAGGGGCTTTTCTTTCCTGACTTCCCAGCAACTCAGTAGAACATGGAGGAATAATGTATCCCCATTTGATTGATGAGAAAACTGAGGTCCCTCAAGGAGACTACTTATTTGCTCAAAGCCACAAAGCTAGCAAGCAGTGGCGTTTGCAGCTTTCCCAGCTCCTTGCTGGTCCAGTTCTCTCTTCTCCAGGATGGAGGGTGGGAGGCTCTCTTGTGAGGGTCACTGGGAAGAAGGGATCGACTGGAAGAACTTCCATTAATGAAGCAACAGCTGACAACAAAAGATCACCACCCCAGACATAAAACACAGACATGAGACTCTCAAAAGCCTAAGTCAAGGGCTGGTCAGCACAAGGCCCTGGCCAGGCACCCACCAGAAAGGGAAGCCTGAGTGGCTACATCTCCTGAGGTGCCAACCCTGAGGCTGACAAACAGGGTTTGCTATGTTCTCGATCCTTGAAGAAGGCAAAGGGACAGAGACCCTAATTCGTGTATTTGTTTCACTTAAGTGTTTAAAGTAGAAACGCTATTTGGATTCAATAGTCCCTGATGAGGTCAAATAAATGAGAGTCGCTACAGACAGTGAAATGGTTAAAGTGAAAAACTGGTTTGGAGCTCAGGCGTCACCTCAGTGAATTGCCACATTCCCCCACAAGGCCAAATAAACAGGCAGTGGGGCTTGGGGGGAGGGCGAAGGCTACCTGGCCACTCTCGTGGCTGCAATCAATACCTCATACAAAGTGCTGCCATCTCCTTAGGGGGGACAGTGTGGATTGCAGAACCCAAAACTAAAGACCAAGAGCTATGCACATACAGGTAAGGTGGTCAACGAGAGTCACCTGACGTGAAGAGTGAATAAACTGAGGTGCCACCCAAATACCCCTTAGGAATCCAAGTCTCCTCTGAGAGCCACCTGTCCAGAATGGAAGCTGTTGGCCAAAACCTTGGAAAGAGTAAGTCACAAAAGCCATGCTGTTAGGATGACAGATAGCCTAGTGGCCGATAACATTTTAAAAACCTGAAATAAGCTGAATATTGGAACTAGTCTAAGAGCCAGGTGGCTGAGTAGCCAACAGCAATGGCTCTGTCTGACTAGAAAGGGAGAGACCAGGTGTGGCAAGTCAATTTATAATCCAATTTTTGCTTTTATTCTGAATCTCCAATAGCTATCTGTGTTTCATGCTTCAGGATAAGGACAGCACGCCAGCCCATGACCTGTCAGTCTCTCCTGGGGCCCTTCACTCTGCTCTCCTGGGAGCAGGGGACCTGAGGCCCTAGGAAGGGCTCATCAACAAGGCTGCCCAATGTCCAGGAGAGGCTGGGTGCCCCACACAGAGAGGTGCCCTACACAGAGAGACATGGCAGGGACCACGCAGAGTCTACAACCAGACACACAGGCCCATCAACCTCCACCTGTGACCACCACCTCAGAGCCTCCACTTCCCCATGGCACCTGTGGAGTTGGGGATGTACATACCTCACAGAGGCCAGCACCTACACAGTGCCTGGTACCTGGGACGCAACAGGGGTGTTTCTGTCCCCCACCTCTGTCCCCTAGACCCATGCTTGAGAGCTAAATGAAACCACAAGCAACTCACAATACTTGGAAGCCACTGCTGCAGGCATCCAGGAATTGAGGCTGGGCCAGGATATCCCACCAGAACCCACTACCGACTCAAGGAAAGCCAGAAATTGACCACAGGTGAATCACTAATTAATTGAAATCACAACACTGATTTCAGAAAGAAAGAGGGACTGAGACATCCAAGCTATTCCCTGTCCAGGCCTGCTGACCAAAACGAACCAATCCCTGGGTTCAGCGCTTAGAGCCCCCGGCAAAGTCAGAAGTCTTTGCCTCTGGAGCCCAAAGACAGTGACCAGTCCCTGCCCATCTCCCATACCTCACTTTCAGCAGCGGGCTGCCATCCTGCCCTGCTCCTCAGGCCTAAGTCTCAGTCTTGGTGCCCTGCCAGAGTGGTTCAAGGCCCGCTGCCAACCTCCCCAAGGCCGGGCCTGGCCAGCCTCAGGGAGCAGATCTGGCTCACACTGGCACAGATCCACACTTGAGTATCCACTCACTAGGAGTCCAGAGCAAGAGGCACCACAGAATAAACCCTGGCACCCCCAAACGCCTGCTGACACGCTCAGCCCCTTTGGATGCATCAAGCAGAAAGTTCAAAGCCTGAGATTCAGAGCCTGCCCTTGAAGAACCTGGGGCCCAACTGAGCTTCCACCTGGCTCACACCTCGAGTGCTCAGAGCTACATTCAACTTGTGTTGTATAATGAGATGAATGAATGAGCATTTGCCTCTTTCAGGAAAATGCAAAAAAAAAAAAAAAAAAAAAAATCATCCAGCAATCTGACACTGAATCCTGGGGCGGAGGGGGGGAATGGCTTTTAGAATTAAGCTCTTAAAGTTGGATGAATATCCATGGTAAGTTTTTAATTTTTTTGACATAAGTTAAATAAGTTGAAATAAAATATTATGAATCTAAAAAGGACCAGCCAAGTGACCAGAGCTGGAGGGAGACAGGCCTGTTGCCCCCACAGAAAGCAGAAAGTCAGCCTGAGTAAAGAGAACTAGACATCACACATAAGACGTTTAAACACAATGCTGGAAAGCTGAAAGACGGGGAGGGGACCTGCCCAAGGCATCAACCACTCTGAAAGGACCCTCAGGTGGCTCTCTGGAGGAAGTCATTTGAGGAATGTTTATGACCCAAAATTGTGGGGCTGAGAATGGGTTGGAAAAACAGGCTGAATGAGGGGTCATCCCACTCCTAGCTCAGGATAGCCATTCTTGGATGTTTTTCTTGAAAATGTTATCAGCCACTAGCAACAACATTAACCAGGTTAGATATTTAGAGCCCATGTGACAATAAACACAGGTTGATCACCGAGGGCAGATGGCCCACACTCACAAGTTTTGAGAGCCGTGAGAGATGAAATTGACACTCAGGAGGCCAGGGGCCTGGCCTAACCCAGCCCTGCCCTGCCCTGCCCTGCCCTGCCCTGGGAGGACAACAGACATCAAATTTTGCACCCATATCAGGCCAGCAGGTGGAGAGTCATCTTTAGCTCAGGGACCAGCAGACCTTTAGAGTTTCTGAAGAAAGGGTACTGGAATAGTCCAAAGATTAAATCATATCTACTTTATCAGAACTATTACAGAATAAACAGATGAGAGCACAACAGGAAACCTCATATGTATATTATCAAAACTGATATTCCTTTAGGAATGTCCTAAGAGCTATCACTGATCAAAGACTTACACGCCAGTCGCTTGCTAGGCATTTCACAGACTGTACCTCCTTTAATCCCCCACAAATAATCTATGAGATAAATTCCATGTCATCCCCGTTTTCCAGATAAGCAAACTGAGACCCGGGGCGGTTGAGCTATTTCCCAGAGCCACAGAGATAGAAAACAATAGAACTCAGCTGTGATCTCAGAAGTGGCTGATTCCAAAAGCTTTGCTCTTTCTACTCTGCACAGCCAGAGAAAGCGTGCATAGAAGGAAAGCCTAGATGGGATGAACTCCTGAAGGTCCCTGCTTCTAAACTCTTGAGTTATGGAGAGGTTAATGTGCACTAGAGACTGGCACTGGGTTAGTCAGCTTTCTGTCACTGTGATAACTATCTGGAAAAAAAACAAAGGAGGAAAAGATTTACTTTGGCTCACAATTTCAGAGGTCTCAGTCCAGAGTCAGTGGGCTCCATTGCTAAGGGCCCGAGGTGAGGCCTAGAGCATCACAGAGGAAGGGAGTGGCAGAGGAAGGCAGTTCAAGGCAGTTGGGAAGCAGAGAGGAAAGAGCTAGGGACAAGATATCATCCCCAAGGCCACACCCCCAAGCATTCACTCCCTTCAACTAGCTTCCACCTCCTAAAGTTTCCACCACCATTTTGTTAGAAGTCCCTAAATGATTTTATCCACTGGGGAGGTCAGCGTCCTCCTGATCGGATCACTCCCGAAACCCTGTCTAAGCACTGCTGAACTGGTGACCCAGTCCACAACACATGAGTTTTTGAGAGACACTTTATATCCAAACCATAACATGGAAGAGAAAATGGGCATTTTGAAGCAAAGTAGCAAGTGCAAGCAGGATTCTCCCAGGATCAAGCTCCTTTTTTTTTTTTTTTTTGCAGTGCTGGGGATGAACCCAGGGACTTGCGCATAGGAAGCAAATGCTCTGCCACTGAGCCACATCCCAGCCCTACGGTAGCTGTTCTTATGTCACCATTTACAGTTACTCCAAAGAGAAGGCACATTGAAACAGTGTAGGTTGCAAAAGAGAGCTCAAATTTTGCAATTATGTGACACTGCACAAATGACCTCACCTCTCTGTGTCTCAGTTTCCTGTGCCTGTAAAATGAAAAAACACTGGCACCCAGCCCAAAGACAATTTGGATATTTAATGAGACAGTGATTTTTTTTTTCAAAAGTACCTTGGTTTTTTAAGAGTCATGAAGCTCCTCTTCCTAGATATTCTGATTCCCCAGGTCCAAGGGAAGCATAATGAGAAAGAAAATACTAAGAAAATGCACATCAGGGGCTGGGGTTGTAGCTCAGTGGTTGAGCGCTTGCCTCATATGCATGAGGCACTGGGTTTGATATTCAGCACCGCAGATAGATAGATAGATAGATAAATTGTGTCCATCTACAACAACAACAAAAAAATTTTTAATGAAAATGCACATCAAATCAGAGTACACAATAAGGGGTGTTGACCAATAAATAAATAAGAACAGGAGCCAGGCACAGTGGTGCATGCCTATAATCCCAATGTCTTAGGAGGCTGAGGCAGGAAGATAGCAGATTCAAGGTCAGCCTCAGCAACTCAGCCAGGCCCTAAGCAACATAGCAAGAGCCGGTCTCAAAATTAAACATAAAAAAATAAAAGGGCTGGGAGTGGAGGCAAAGGGCCCTGGTTTCAATCCCCAGTACAAATGTGCTTATGCACACACAAATAGGCACCAAACTCTAGATGGTGGTGAAGAGCCAAATGTATGAGAAGATCATAGTGGGAATTTGCACAAATGGGAAAAACAGCACATTTTAACAATAACAATGGCAGTGTGAATGATCTAGGGGGGAAAAAATCAAAACCTTGCAAGAATTCTGGGGTAACAGTCACAACCACTATAGGGACTTCTGTCACTATCCATCAGACTGCCATCTTATTATGATCACAAAGGCCAAACAGTAAAAATATCCTGCCCAACAATACTGTAAAAGTACTAAAAAACAGAAACAAACCTACTGTCCACCCCGCCCAAATTATAAAATTACTTACCTTAGAACAACGGTCACTGCCCATCAAGAAAGACGAGTTGCACAGCCAGAGAATGGTCAACCTGCACTTGCTGCAGGATGGGAGGGCAAGCTAAGAAGACACCCCCCCACCCCCGCCATCAGACCAGAAAGGTCAAGGCCAAGAGGGCCCTAAGATAACCCACCAAGTGAGAGAGGAAGGGGCACTAACTTGGTCACCCAGCCTGAAATGACAGGAAAGGAGGCCCTAACACTCACCAGAGCCCAGAGAGGAGATGTCTGAGAACCTCAAAGAAGGTAAGAGAAGTGGACTGCTGGGCCCAGACAAGGGTACGGATGCCATGTGGGGTTCTCCCAGGGTCAGGACGTGGGCTGTTTTCACCACCATCTGCGTAAGGATCTGAAGACCACGGCACAGGGAATCATGAAGGCAGCAGAAGGTTCTGCCTCTTCCCAGCTGGGTGACCAGTGGCACCAGCACATAGCCAGTCTCGAAGTGTCTTGGGGAGGGACATGGCCACACCCTCCCTTGCCATCAGTCAGACCTGATGTCATTATAATTCATGTTTTCCAGAAGTTCTGCAGAGAGCTGGGGAGGCGGTAGCCAGAAGCATAAATAACAGAGAGGCACACACCATTTTCTCTAATTAACGTAAACCATGAGTAGCAGCACTGTGGCAGGGTTCAAGATGCTCTTAAAAGAACACTAAAAATACTTCCAAATGCCTCAACTTCAGCTTGAGTGTTTAAGCCACACTTTGCATTTTAAAGATGGCCAGGAGAAGACCCACAGAAGCAATGAGGTATGTAGTTAATGAGTGGAGTGGGCCTAGAATTTATCATCCAGAATACACAATGGACTGTTCATCCATCCTCCTGACTCTCCCCCATGCAAGCACTATCAATATACAGGCCAAAGTCCTAAAGGCGGGGATCAGACATAATTAACTGTGGGGCCCAGAAGAGACCTTCCCAACATCAACCCTTCTCACCAACCAGTAGAGACCTGTGTGGCCCCCAAGGGCAGGTGAGCACACACCCCACACCCGGCACATTCTAAGTCCTAGCCTAGTCTTCCAATGTTTAGCAGACTGCAAGCATCCCTGGGTCTATAGTAACTCTAAGCAAAGAAGTGTCCCTATAGTGTGCCTTTATCTGAACATACAAGTAAAGTACCCCCCTACCCCATGATTCCACTTTCTCAGAAACTACTCCAGAGAAAACTCACAGGAGCTGCAAAGAGCCCATGTGCAACAATGTTTTTTTGTAACAATATTTGTAACAGAAAAGGATCAGAAGTAACTTTCATGTCCACACACTAGGAAAGGAGAAACAATTGTTTAGCCTTCTATTTCTAAAAGAGATTGAGCAAGCAGGAATTAAATAAGATCAAGAAGACCCTGCTGTGGTCTATGAACGTGCAGTACAGTGCACTTGACTTTCTGTAAGCCCTAGAGGCATAAATGTAAATATGCAAAGCATCTGAAGAATACTAGCAGCCCCGGGAGGGTGGTCAGTCTCTGGGGAAAGGACTGGGATTAGGAGTGGTGGTCAAGGAAGAAGCTAGTCTGGAGGATTTGCATTCTTTTCCCCTACAGAGAATGTGTTCATGTATTACTTATATAATGAAATTTTCATGCAATCATTTAATTTTAAAAAAGGAAGAAAGAAAAGAAGCAGACCCTGCTCAATACATTTTTATAATGAATTTAGGAGTGATCTTCTCAAGTCTGGTTCAGCTTGCCAGGAGGCTCAGAGCTGAGCAGCACGTATCCGCATTCCCAGCCAGCAGTGGGCTTTGCCACACAGATCTTGTTTCAATCTTACAAGCGCAACTCTGCAACTCCATAACTCCAAGGACTCTTAAATTCATAGCCAACCGGTTCAAGGGAGAGGCAGGAAAAAAAGAAAAAGCATGTCAGGGGACTGCTGGTAATCCAAAGGGATGTCCCAGGAGCAACTCCAGTTCTAACCCAGCAATTCAGCTCTCCAACAAAACAAATTACAACACACACAGGCACATAGGCGCACACACGACCACGTCTCCTCCACACAAGGATGAGCTGACTGTGCTTTATACTCTTACATCTGGGAACTGGGATTCCTTGCAATGAAAGGAAAAATCTGAACTTCTCATCAGACAAATGCTAAGACATTATTATTTACTTTCTGGGGTCACCTAATCATATAGTATACTGATGAGGTTGTTGTTATCATTATTATTATTATTTAGTTTATGCTTTGCAGTGCTGGGGGTCAAACCCTGGGCCTCATGCAAGCTAGGCAAGCTCTCTACCTCTAAGCTAAAGCCCCAGTCCCAATAGTGATTTTTAAACACACACACACACACACACACACACCCCTTCACCTCTTCAAAGCACTACTTAGAGAGTCCTTGGAAACATACAATTATAATATTAAGATCTGACTAGGCAAAACTATAGTGATAGAAATCAGATCTATGGCACTTCCTATAGGATTACCTGGAAATGGTCCCAAGGAACATTTCTGGGGTGATGGATATGTTTTATCGCCATATGCATTTGTTAAAACTGACTAAACAACAACCTTGCAATCTGAACATTCCACCATATGTAAAATGTACCTCAATTAAAAAAAAAATATGCTAAAACTCAGCCTCTCTCCCAGCTACAGCAGAACAGTAAGCTGTCCTGTGAGACACTGGAAATCTCTTTGTAGTGCTATGTAAGGTGCATGAGTAGCCATAAAAAGAAAACATGACTAACATGGTCAGAGGACACAGGAGTTAGGACAGCAAGAGCAATGTGTATGCAGCAGCAGAAGAAAAACAGAGGAGAGCAAGTTTTAATTCCCTGCACTCAGTTACTGGATATGGTTGTTTTTACTAAGAATTTTATGACTTCCCAGTACTCAAAGGGGAGGGGGGGAGGCTGAGAACTGTTCTTTCTTATTTTGCTCTTTTTAGGAGAAAAAAAAAAAAAAGTATATGTTGGTCTAACTTTTCCCCATCCCTACTATATGTGGCCCAGGAAACCAATTCAATGCCGTTCACCAAGCCCAGTGGATGTGACAGACAACACGCATGGCAGAAATGATGCAAAAATAAAGGAGGCCATTATTTAGCTCTAAATAGCCAAGTTCTGCCTAAGCGTGTTACACTCACCTAAAGCTGCTATTCCTTGAGTTGATGGGCCCCCAAAATACTCTCTTCCATGTCAAGAGAGAGCACTTCCTTGCCAAATACCAATTTTCAAATGCCAGAATAAGAGCATGAATCACATGGAGACAGAAATCATCTTGTGATCTTCTCCAAGGATGAGATAAACCTCTATGCACTTTGCAGAACTCAATAAGCTCTTGCAATGTGAGTTAGCCCAAGCACTGCCCCCCAATACAACAAAAAAAGTCATCCAAAAATGTCAGGGAGAACAGTCTAAAAAATTTAAAGAACCAGGGTGTATTTTAAGTAAACCATATGTAAGCAAAACTTGAACAAAGTTAAGCTAAATCAGATTTTCCACATGTACGCTATAAACAATAAAAGCATAAAAATTTAAAAATATTTAATTCAAACTACAAACTTCCCATTATTAACTAGATACATGCTACCTGCAAAAATCCTCATCAAAAGTCTCTTTAAATGTATCTTCCCCTTATTCTCTCTGTCAACTAAGCTACAGAGTAATGAGAAGGCTCAGTCCCATCTCTGTGTCAGGATGGTGTTGAACTCACTGTTCTGGTGATTTGAATCCACAATGTGATGTGAAGGAGCAAGGGACACTCAAGGGTACTTCCAGGTCCTCCACAGCCAAGCGAGGATCCAGCATCATCCAACCCTAGGACTTCTTCTTGATTTAGTCAAGAACTGGCCAATCAATACTCACATTATTCTGTATGTTAACCTATTTGGCTCATTATCTTCTGCTTCTTCCCCCAGTTTCTTACTTTTCCTAAGGACCAAATTTCATTTTCAGCAGCCCAGGGGCCACAAACTGAGTCCCAAGCCACCTTACAATTGCTAAAATGATCCCAGAGTCTTTCAAAAATGTTAGGAGCAGTGCTAGGTGTGGTGGTGCATGCCTGTAATACCAGACACTCAGAAGGCTGAGGCAGATTGAGGTCGACCTTGGCAATTTGGGGAGACTCTATCTAAAATAAGAAATTTTGTTTAAAGGGCTGGGACGTAGCTCAGTGGTACAGCACCATGTCTAGCATAGGCGAGGCCCTGGGTTCAATCCTTGTGTGTGTGATCATACACACACAAAGAAACTTATTTATTGGAAACTATTTTTAAACATTTTTTTTTAATTACATGATGTTGATTCACACTATGCCAATGATGGCATGTCCTCTATTCCACGTGATCTTTCAGCTTCAACAAGTCACATAACAAATGACCCTGAGGACTGGAAGTGGTTTGGGAGGTCTGCCTAACTCTTCCACAGCATCCCCAATTGACCCACTAAGCCCAACTTGAGTACTTCCAACAGGAGGCTCAGTGCTCCAAGGGCAGACAGGACCACGTTGAGCAGGTTGGCCAACTAGAAAATCCCTTTACGTGTTGAAATATGTTCTCCCCATCTTTAGGGGTAGAGAGGACCTTAAAGTCCATCATCTGCAGCATAATTCTACAGAAAAGGAATCTGCCACTACAGAGGGTAAACAATTGTTCCTCCTGTGGGTCATATCCGACACCAGGAACAAAAGCACTCGAGTCCGCTCATTCCGGACCCCTGACAACCACAGCAGTGTTAGAAGGAGCTACCGTGTACCCAGCCCAGGAGTGTGCTCCAGTCACTCCCTAGTCATCATCCCAGTCTCCCTTCACGGATCATGTCTCGCTGGCTCATGTTCCTTTTGAATTGTGATTCCCCAGTTGTCCAAACTTAGTGACCAGCCATGGTCATGAAGACAACCTTCTGATTATGAATGCTGAGTATTTAAAGCCTCACTCCACTCCTGGCTCACATTAAACTCATGACCTGCCTCTCTCAGTGGCCTGCACCAACCTCAGGTCAGGAACTGAATCTTATCTGGTGACGCCTGTGTCCAACCCAGGGGTTGACACACAGCCATGGCTTCTCGACAGTCATCACTGAGCACACCATCTATCCCATTCTATCAACAAAATATTTTTAAAGTAGCAGTATTTTTCCCACTGGCAAATAATTACAATGTGAACAAAAGAAGCTGGGCATGGTGTTGAACGCCTATAATTCCAGCAACTTGGGAGAATGAGGCAGGAGGATCACAAACTCAAGGCCAGCCTAGGCAATGTAGTGTCTCAAAAAAAAAAAAAAAAAAAAAGCTAAGAAAAGGCTGGGGATGTAGCGCCATGGTAGAGCATCCCTGGGATGACCCCTAGTACAGGGGGAAAAAAAAAAGTGACTAAAAGAAAGTCATTCACCTTGACCCACCTAGAAGCAACCAGTATCATATTTTTGGTATTAGTATTATTAGTCTATTTCCTTCCAGTCATTTCCTACAAGCATTTTTTAACATTTGAAATCATATTGTTGATGTACATTAACTTTTAGCAGAAACATTCTTCCCTGTTATTTCAAAATTATTTCTAAATATTATTTTTTGTAACTTCTTAACACTTGTCATAAAGACATGCCCATCAGAATTCACCTGTTCATTATCTCCAACCCACACCGCTGAATGTTTAGGTTGTTTCCAATTTTTCACTATAGATTTTTTTTTGTTGTTGTTGTTATTGTTTCAAACTTTGAATAATCTCTCTGCATAAAACATCATCTACATCTTTGATATGGTCTCAGTTGTATCCTCAGAAGAGAAATTCTCAGAATGCATGAACATGATATAGTAACCGTTTGCAATTTTAAAATTAAATCACACTTTACATTTATTCCTTACTGACATTTTCTTTTTTCCTTTTTTAATTTGGACTTCTCATGCCCAATGATTTTGAACCTTGAGTTATCTGTTAAATAAGCAAACCTTCCCATGTCTGTGCCACCAACAAATCTGATGAGCACAGCTTCTGTATCTTCATCCACAACACTGGGAAAACGCTGAACAGATCAAAGCCAAGAACAGAACCCTATGGCACTTTCAGACCTGGTTCCAGGCTGACTCAGGGCCAATAATTAACAATTTTTGCATATGACTGTCAAGTTAAATTAATAACACCATCCAGCCCATTTTACCACTTCTGATTTAATATGGACAATTGTGTCTCAGGAAACCGTTCAGTACATCACTAAAGCCAAAACATACCACAGCTGCCACCTGCTTCCCCTGGTTAGTAACCAAACCATCCTGCAAAAAGGAGATGGATTTACTTGATATGATTCAGGTGACTTCTGGTTAGCCTTATATCTTATAGCCAGACATTTTTAAGCAAAATGTATGCCAGCCTCAATTTTAATTTTTAATGTTATAAAAGCAATATTTTTAAATAACTGAACATTGTCCTACCTATAAAGAGCAGGATGACTACTAATCAGTCCCTCTGTAGCTCACCTGGGAGGAACTCTGAATCATGGGAGGTTATGGATTCCTTGGAGTACACCAGACTGATCTAGACCAGAGATCTGAACCTAGGTCTTCAGGTGGTTCCAACCACGCCAAGTTTTCCAGAACCATTTGCATCAATACCTGTGCCTGAGCCAGCTATTCCATGATCATTGTGAGTCTCTCAGGATCCTGGATGCCTGCCTCCTGGGGTCAGATGGAGTAAGGAAGAGGAGAGAAAAGGCCCAGCCCTTTTCCTGGTTCTTCCTTTAGCACTGGCTCACAGAACCAAAGCTTCTGAGAATCTAATGTCATAAGGCATTGACAGCCACAACTCACAGCTCACCAAGTTATTACCCCAACATCATCCTCTGACACAAGCCAGGAACCATCATCTAACCATGTCAGCCAGAAATGGGAAACAGGGAAGTCTGAGAGACATTGGCATCACTGGAGATCTGCCCACCATGCAGAACACAGGTCAAAGCCCTCTCTAACAAATACCATTTAAATAAATACCACTGTAAAAATATTTCCATGTCCCCAATAGCATCTCCTCAGAAAGTGCCGCTGGCTTGCCTAAAACAAACTGCTTGCCCATAAATATTTCAGATTCCATGTCACACTCTTCCCAAAACACTCCATGGCAGCCCAAAAGAGGCTCTTGAAAATGGAGGTGACAAAGCCAAATGCCTACAGGCTTCAGCAGAGAATGTAAAGCAATTGGACCAAGGCCACAGAAAGCATTGGGACCGGGAGAACTGGGAACCCTAAGGTCTTCTCCAGAAGGACAGCCAACCCAGAGCTCCAGCTGACTGCCCAAATCCTTGACTGTTCCCAATAGTTTAAAAACTTCTGTGTTGTCCAAACTAGAACATACCTGTAGACTTAAAACATTCTGCAGACCACCCCTTCACAAACCCTGTACTACCTAGGACCCTAAACCACCTTTCCAACCTGATCTCTCCCTCTGCTCGCACAACAGTCTTCTGTTCTCACACAAGCACTGTGTGTGCGTTCCTAACTCCAAGCTCTTGCTCCCTCTGCACCATGCGGCACCAGAAGACACCCCAACTGCTCATCCCAGACTTCCTTCCTTTTTCCAAAGAATTTTTCCAAGCCACACAGTACACATTATTCCCCACTTCTTTAAATCCTAACATGCTTATATTTCATTTTGGCATATAATTGTCTTACCTTGCTCCTAATCTAATGTATACTTCATCTCTCCAACTAGACTGTGAACTTTCCATCTCTCTCTTACGCCTCCTTCTACCATCGGCACTGGGAAGGGTAGCTCTGCACACTAGCAACTTAGTAAATACTTACTGAATGTGAAAATTCTCTGTGGGCTCTTTAAACGGTGGGTTATGCTCCATTAGAGAGTGGTTAGATCAACTTGGTGGGAGACAATAGCATTTTTTAGTAACAAAAAATAGAATAGGCAGTAAAAATGTCAGAGAAG